TGCGTCATCCCAAGAAGAACACCGCTTATCCCACAGTAATGTTAGGGGTGCCATCGAGTGTGTCGAGAAAATCAAGCTCCTCCTTTCCGACGCCCATGACACAAACAGGTATGAAATCGTCACTACCAAGCTGTTGCAGACTATGGAGCCCTACTTCAAGGTTTATCACGATAACATAAACACCAGCCGTCAGCAAAGCATAACAGAGTTCTTCGCCCGCAACCCACCACAGCCAGCCCAAGCCAGTGATAGTGACAGAGGTAGAGACAGTGAAGATGACTTTGAGGGATTTGTCAGGGAGGCCCTGACAAGTGTGGATGACAGTGATGGTGACTCACCTGAGGGCCAGTAGCCTGCCCTCTGCCTCGGAACTAGCCTCTATCCCCGTACGCCCACCCATCTCTTCTACTAACGTAAGTGTTCAACCTAACTTTTAGTTTTCCTAACCTAACCTTTATTTTTCCTAACTTAACCTTTATTTTCCAAACGTAACCTCTTCTATATTACTTGTGTGTGCATACCATCATAAAGTTAAGATAAATTTTTTACTACAACATAGTTGTGTGTCGTCAAAAAGTGGAGTTTGGGGGTCGGCCCGGTCTCTATTTCAATTAATCCCATATGTTGTTGTTCACTTTACGCGTTTCTCACTTTCCGCGGTACCCTGTGGGTTATATTAACCGCGTAAAGTGAGGGTTGACACTATTCTTCTCTATATAAACGATCTGGCTTAGAAATAAATAAAATATAAAATAAAACTATAAAATAAGAAAAACGAAAAACCTGGGTGTGTATGTGCGTGAGAAGCAAATGTGTGTGTATGGTGGTGGGCTATAACTACACCTCTGACTCACCAGCCTAGCTGCTGTGTTTATTGTTGCTTTTAATGAAACTATACAAGTTATCCAAAAATCATAATAATATTCAAATGTGGCTTAGAAATAAAGAAAATATAATATAAAACAAGAAAACGAAGAGTATGGGCGTGACTGTGTGAGAAGTGAACGTGTATGGAAGCGGTTGTAGCCAACAGTCGTAAAAAGTACCAGATTTTGTTTCTCGAGTAGAAGTAAAAGTATCCAAATATCAATGTACTCAAGTAAAGTAAAAGAAGTATCTCATTCATAAAGTATTCAAGTACTGAAAGTAGAAAGTAACAACAAAATTATTATTTGTTTCAAATATTAATCAATAACTGATTCTCAAAATTATAGCTGTCCAATCTTTTAGGCCTAAATATATTGTTACCGATGAATACGTTCATTCTCCTAAATCCATCACAGGGAATAGTAAATGGTAATATATCATCAACATGATCATATCCATCTATACAATCATCATCGATATTGACTTATGGTCCTAGACATATTATCTCTCTTCCAAGGTTAGACAGATCTATCTGGCTTGTATGAGGTGGGGGATGACTCGCACTTCTCTTCCAATAAACTCTGTAACTGTCCCACTGCTAACACCCTTCAACACTACTGTATTGCCTTGACTGTCCCACTGTCAGGGACCTCCTACCACAGGGAGAGTCACTAACCACTATATGTCACCACCTACTTATTCGTAATAATTTAGACTTAATTCTTGTATGCTACTCACTCCTTGGTGGTGCTAACTCCCATTGTTCTTGAATCATATCAATATTGTCTCAATATCACAAGTCATAGCGTGTCCTGCGAGACACGAGTACCACTGTATTAGCGTCTGACTGCATGGTGGTGTGACTAGGCTTGCCACCCCCTGGGGTGTAATAAATAAATTAATTAATAAATAATAAACCCAGCATGACTAAACAGATGAGATGAGTAACAATGTTGGGAAAGACCTCAGTAGCTCCATTCCATCCCCTGGGCATTCCAAGTAGCTATCAAGCTTCCTCAGTTGAGGAGTTTGTGGATAAATGTTGCCTCCATAATTAATGAGTCTGATTAAGAATCACCGTGAACTGGGGTGTGGCTGTGATACATCACTTTTCGATTCTAATTGATGAGTGGCTGAATTTTTCGAACCACGTAACATCTGGCGGGTGCTGGGGGCAGTGGTACTTAGTTACTAAAGCAGGATTTTAAATACACTCAGTCTCACATATATGTATAGATACAGGCTTTATATCTAAGACAGAATTATGTAAAGCATTTTGGAATCACAGCCTCTTTAAAATTAATTTTTGATGCAGGTATACCTGTATACATACAACAACTGGCGTCAAACAGGAAGACCAAGCCCCTGCAGGAAAGGTGGGGGAGAAGAGAGGATATTTTCTGGGGGAAAGGGGATAAGAGGCTGGGCTAGGTGAGGTGGGTGGTCAAAGTGGTAATGGACACAAGAAGATCAAAGGGAATGTCTGCTGTCATGGCCACTGTCACCTGACATCACCTAACCTCATGAGACCTGTAGGTATGTGACCCCATGGGGTCTCCCCTAACCCACATCGTACCCTTCATGGCTCCACCCACACCATACCCTCCACCCACACAACTCTTTTACTATGGTGAATAAGTTAATTAATTAATAAAAAATATATTATTAGTTTGCCACAGACACTAAAACTCTTACTTTGGGGCATGTAATGAGTAATGATTTTTGTTTTTTCAATTGTATTGGAGTAAAAATATTTGAAAACCATACTTACGTAAAAGCAAAAGTACTAAAATATTTGAGTACTTTTTAAAAAGTAAACACCCAAAAATTTTACTTAAGTACAGTATTCAAGTAAATTTATTTAGTTACTTTACAACTATGTTAGCCAAGGCCTTGGCTAGAAACTACGTGGGTGACTCGCCAGCCCAGCCATCTCGTATAATGTTACTTGTAATGAAACTATAAAAGTTGTGAAAAATTATTAAAATATTCTAATGTGGCTTAGAAATATGGAAAATATAATACAGTATAAAACTAGAAACTAAGAAAAATAAAGAGCATATGTGGGAAGTAAATGTGTTATGGAGAGGGTTTTCTTTTTTATCTTTTTGGTAATTTTGGCTTCCTGTAGGTGAGCGTCGCAGTTTTGGGTCTTCATGGGGTTTTCATTAACCTAACCCCTGTGTTGTTTAAGGGATATGTGTACTGTAGACTAAAGCTTTTTTCTGTAAACAAGAAGGCAGTTTTGCTGACATTGCACTCGAGTGATTTAGTTTTCCCAAGTGTAAATTGAGGTACTTATTAACAAATGGGTGAACTGGGTGTGCCAAGGGCAAAAACAAATGACCCTTAAGATAAGAAGTAAGTGCTGCATCCACCAGATTGCAGCATCTCACAGGAAAGTACAGTAAACCCTTGCATATTCGTGATTTTGACTACCCTGTATTTGCATTAAGCAGATGGTGGCGAGCTTACGAGCCTGCCTGCAGTGCAACGAGTCACCCCCACACACCTGCAGTGTCTCCTCTAACTCCTCTCCCCTTGTTTGTGCTCAACCATTGCCTGCAATGCAGCATCTCTTGTGTTGTACAGATAACTTTAGTGTTTCTGTGTAAAATGGCCCCTAAAAGACTGCCTAGTGTCAGTGCTAGTGATGCTAGTGGAGTGAAACATTTAAAGACCTCAAAGCCAAGAGGAAACAACTACCAATTATGATGTTTTTCAAGAGAGAACCAGCCGCTCACCCAGCTGATTCATCTCCCTCACCTACTCGGTCAGCTGCTGCTGCCTCTCCACCAACCACCACTGCATCACCCTCTTCCAACAGTGATCCTGATGATCTCCTTATGCTTTACTATCCAGATTTCATTTTACTGTTCATTACCCTTCATCAAGCTCCAAACTTCCACAAACAAAGGATAGTAGTATTGGTGACTAAGTTTCTCATACACTGTATAGGTATACAGTAGTGCACTAAAGTAGCATTAGTTGCCATTCACTGTTTTGGCAATTAGCGCCATTCCTTGGAACCTAACCCCGCCAAATAGCAAGGGTTTACTGCATGTGAGCATGGAGTCTTTTTAAGGTTTTTGAAAACTGCAGGTACTAGTGAACTATTGTACAGTACAGTTGTACCCTGCTTAACGCGGTTTCACTTAACGCGATTTCTCATATACGCGGTGCCTCGCCAGAACCGAATTTCACTTAACGCGGTTCATCTACTCATATACGCGGGAAGCGGCGCGCACAAGGTCGCCCAGTCATCAAAACATTACCGAGTTCTTCACCCGCCACCCACCACAGCCGGCCCAAGTCAGTGATAGTGATAATTATAGTGAGGATATGGACTTATATGGACTTTGAGGGGTTTGACAAAGAGGCCCTGCAAGCCTCTGTGGTGGATAGTGATACAATTGATACAAGTGATACAAGTGAGGGCCAATAATCCGCCCTCTGCCTCGGAACCAACCCCCCATCCCCGTGTGCCCAGCCATCTTTTCTACAAATGTAAGTGTTAAAAAACCTATTATTATTGATATTTCTCTAAATTATTAATTGTGTGTGCATACCATCATAAAGTTAAGATAATATTTTTACTACAACATAGTTGTGTGTCGTCAAAAAGTGGAGTTTGGGGGTCGGGCCAGTCTCTATTGGAATTAATCCCATATGTTCTGTTGTTCACTTAACGCGGTTTTCACTTAACGCGGTACCCTGTGGGTTCAATTGACCGCGTTAAGCGGGGTACAACTGTACTATGAAAGATCACCCACAGCTGCAGATCAAACCAAATTCTAGAAAAGAACACAACTCTTCAGCTGTGCTAGAGCATTTGCCTCAGTCAGGGATATGATTTCTAATTAGTGAGGAGGACTGGGTTACCTCTTTGTACACTAGCCCTTGTACATTCACCAGTAAAATGATTACACTATCATAAGTGGCTGTTGTTGGTGGAATAACTTTGGTGGACTAGCACCCTCTCAAAGAGTTGGGTAACACACTACCTGCTAGATAATAAGACTCAGGGGATCAGCATCTGTCCACCTATTGTACACCATAGCTTGTATGCATTTGAGAAAAATAAATATGTATATGAGAGGTGCTCTGAACCAGAAATAGACAAACAACATAAGTAAGATTAAATATTGAATATTAGAATAGAATAATATACATAAATCAAGCTGCATGTTGCTTGTCTTCTTCTGCCTCATACTTATACAGTATGTACTGTATATTGCCCTAAAGGTTTTGTCTTACTGAGTGCGGTGTAGCATTTCACTAGAGAATAGTAAATTTAACATTGTAGTTCACAGTAGATAATCATTACAGCACATAGGATATTGATTAAAATGTATAATACACAAACGGGTTACAATATTTGAACCTCATAACCTGTGACCTCTTTTGAGCAAAATTTATATTCATGTAAATAACTTATTCAAATCTATAAGTAACTTCTAAGACAGTACATATTTTTTCTACAGTCCACATAAAGAGGGTAAGAACACACAAAACCAAAATGTGTGCCGCTTCATATAAGAGCTTCGGAGTGAAGACTGACCAGATGAAGAGATGGTGACGCTGCATTGTAACATTTACCAAGTACAAGCTGACTGTAGCCAGTCGTACACTCCACCAAACACGCAACAGTTGCTGCCACCTGTTAAATAAAACATTTCTGAGAGTCAAAATCAGGACACTAATTAAAAGCCTGTCGAGTTAAAATTAACATGTATTATACAGTGAAACTCACTAAATCAAATACTGTACTGTATTATCAATTTTAATTTTTCTTCTCAACTTCAACTGATGAAGACAGTTTCACCCAAACCTTTTCAAGTTTACAACTACAAACTTTATACCTCTTTCCATTCTAATGGAGGTGAATGCACCGACTGCAACATACATATAGCTATAGCTCAACTCACGGATCTTGAATCTTATTTTTATGTCATTCAGCTCAAAAGATCTCCACCATTTGTGACTACTGTACAGTATTTTTATTTCCTATACTTTTCTCCCAACTCAACCAATTATATGGAATTCTTTGACTGTCTCCCTTCTTGTCATGAGTCGTTGCTATCCATGGACCCAAGATCGAGATCCTTTACCTAGGGGATTTCAATGTATAGTCCCCTTCACTAATGCATTTACAGGGGCTCGTCATATAAACATTTCACAAATCATTATCTTTGAGATATTTGTTTTAATATTGTTTTAATGTGATTGCGTACTATGTTTAATATTGTGAGTTTCCTTCTGCCAAATGTAAAAAAAACACAGGGCTGCCACACTGCACAAAATCTGACGTGCTCTTGTAAACGCACTAATAAAGGGGACTGTACAATAGCTAAAACAACTATCTGTGCATACTTTGTGGGAAACAATATGAGACCATGGACAATAAATTTTGGTATTTGAGGGCTGTCACTAGTCACAAGTTAAATTTCGAAGCATATCGACCTCCACCTGCACAGATAGTTGTTTTAGCTACTGTACATCACAGTGAGCAGCTTGACTCTGCAAGGGATGACCCAGGTGGAGTCGATGCACTCTCTTTTTCCTTACTTATTGATCTGAAACAAATAATTAAACACCCTAGAGGTGTTCCAGTTCAACACGATCAACTTATTCTTGATCTTGTTTTACCTCTAACAACCCCTCACATTATGCATACTCATTTTCTGCCCCCTTAGGGGACTTTTGATCACAATCTTATTTCTATCAAATCAAACTGGACATGACCACCTCCCCCACCACCTCTAAATGCCAACTATGGCACATAGGCAATCCTTGAGAGAATTCTTCTCCGACATTCCCTGGGATGAATGTTTCTTTTCCACTTGGGATGCCTCGGTATGTGCTGACAGCATTACTGGGGTTGTACAGGGTGGTATGAGTGTACAGTATGTATCCCATCGTCTACCAAAATTTTCACTATACAATCATGGTTTGATCACTCCTGTTCTCTTGCATGTAGGGAGAGAGATAGGGGTATCACATTATGAAACTATCTCCTTCTCCTGTTACTCCTCTTTCATTACTTCTAGGAATCGTTGCAAGGCTATTCTTGGTAGTGCCAAGGGAATTAAAAAATAAAAATAAAAAAAAAGACAGCTGACCTGAGTAACTCTTCTTCTAGTAAATCTTTCTGGTCCTTAACCAAACACATCTGTAATTGCTTCTGAACTCCCTCTTTTTGTCCTCTTTCTGACCTGATAACCCTATAGCCAACTCTCCCCCTGATAAAGCCAATCTCTTTGGCCCTTTTTTCCTCTAACTCCACCTCAGATGATTCTATTCTACACCTTCTACCGAACCTAAGCACTTTCCTATAATCTCCAGTCATAGGGTTGCTGGTGTGTTATCCAGGTTGGAAGTGAGTAAGATGCATGGACCCTACAGAAATACACCTTGTGTTCTGAGGAAGTGTGCTAAGGGTCTTGCCCCTGCGCTTGCTCACCTCTTTTGCCTTTGCCTCAAAACCCAAACTTTTCCTTCTTCTTGGAAGCATACCTTGGTTCAGTCCACCATCTTGAAGAAGGGTGACCATTCAAATCCCTCTAACTATTGCCCCATTGCCCTAACTTCATCCCTATTTAAGAGTTTTGAAAACTATCTTAAACTTTAATTTTTTCCGTCACCTTGAACGCCTTTCTCTTTTGTTGGATCACCAGTTTTCTCATTTCTAGCTTCCTTGAGAACCGATCCATGGCAGTTGTTGTCGAGGGATCGATCTCTCGTTCTTTCTCTACCAATAATGGTGTCCCACAGGGTTCTGTTCTTTCACCTACTCTCTTCCTTCTTTTTATCAATGACATACTTCACACTACTACTAATTCTATCCATTCTTATGCTGATGATTCTATAGACTTTTCACCCTTCTTCTCATTTTCCCTTCTCTTAACTCTCAAATTAGATCTCTTTCTAAAGCTGATATCGTTTCTTCTATTAATGCAGATCTGTACAGCATCTATGAATGGGGAGGCAGAAATTATTTACCAAATACACTTTCCAAAATAGAAGATATACCATCAATCACATTTTAAGATGCAACCATTTTGCCAAATTCAAAAATACATGTACTAGTCCTCACCATTTCCTCTAATATTATCATGGAAGCTTCAAGCCACACATCCACAAACAACATAGCTAAGGTTGCCCCCTGAAAACTGGGAATGTTGTATATGCTGTAGACACTTCACTCCTGAGCAGTTGCTTCAGGTTTATAATGGATTCATTTGTCCTAACTTGGAGTACTGCTCTCATATCTGGGGTGGTTCTTCTTCAGTCCAACCGTTGGACAGGGTGGAATCAATGGCATTTCATCTTAACTCTCCCCCTTTAGTCAATAATTTCTTTTCCCTTTCTCTTTGCTGCAATGTTGCTTCACTCTCTTTTAATGGGCAATGTTCAGCGGATTTGGCATTCTGTGCACACTTATCTTGCCTTTGGTGCCCACCGTACATCCTTCTTTCTTCACACAGCCAAACTGTGGAATGCTTTCCCTTCTTCTGTTTCCAACCTCGTACAATCTGTCTCACTTCAAAAAGTTGGTTTTCCGGCATGTTCGTGATGTACTGTAGATTAACATACTCTTTTTCTCCGGTATTTTTTATTAAATTTCTTATTTGTATTTTCTCACCCCCCCAGGTCCCATTGTAGGTTGATGACCTGTGCCTGAGTGGGCTATCCCCCCTCCAAAAAAAAAAAAAAATGTACAGTCATCGCCGGTTAACGTCCCGAACAACGTCCGATCGCATATACGTCCGTGCCCCAAAAAAACACTTCCGTGACGCCTGCTGGACCACCACTCCACGACCCCCATACTGGTCAGATATTATGTGTTAAAGAAATATGCTTCCTTCCTCAGGCTTTTTTTAAGCATTTGGTTCCAGGTGTAATGTTAACCTACATCTATTGAGGATAAAATCTTTCACCTACAAATTGACAATAACACATTTGCTGTAATCAGACATATCTAGTTGCCTCAACAATAGCAACCCCAGTTGCAATTGGGGTTGCAATTTCAAATTCTGAGGCATTACTAAGGAATATCGAAGTCTCCGGTGCACTCTAAGATTAAGAGAGAAAACGGAGGACTCAGGCGTCCTGATGTGAGAGAAAACGGACTCGTATGATGGGGGACCAAATAAAAAAAGCATAGCTACATGTTTTGTGGACTACAGTATTGAGCGTACCCTTTTCATCACTCTGTAATAAACCTAGCCATGCCTATGTGTGTTTATGATATTTACCATAACATTATACAGTGATCCCTCGGTTAACGAACTCAATCCGTTCCAGAAGGTCGTTTGTTAACCGAAAAGTTCGTTAACCGAAACCATTGTTTCAATGGGTTTTTGGGTAATTGGTTCCAGCTCACCGAAAATTTCCTAAATTCAACAAAAATCGTAGAAAAGTTCACTTACTTTGAGGTGTGTATGTGGAAGGCTCCTGGATGATGATGATGATGTGCATTTGAAGTGGGAGGAGAAGAGAAGGAAGTGGAGGTGGAGGAGAAGCATTTTACTGCTTCTTGGAAGGTGAGTCACCTTCCATGAAAATGTCAGGAACCTCTGGACTGACAGATTCTCTACCATGAACATCCTCTCTCCTTCTTGAAGTGGAAGGCTGAGGGATAGCATCTTGTTCCCTCTGCCTTTTACTGAAGAAAGTGTCAATTGTGGTCTGTGGGGCACCTGTCCTCCTCACCATTAACTGATGTTTAAAGAAAGAGACCACTGAGTCCTCAACATGACACAAAGTTAGTTCAGTTTTTTCCACTTCTGGGTGCTTTGAAGCCAGTTCCCTAAACTTCTCCCAGTAGTAAATCACATCTTTCAACTGTTTCGCTGACATATGGTCATCACTTTCAATTTCCTCCTCACCACTGTCAGCCTCTACCTGTAACATCTCATCCAGTTGCTTCAAGTCATCAGGAGTAAGTTCCTCCTCATGAGACATCACACGTTCTTCCACATCCTCCTCCTCCACTTCAAGGCCCAATGACTGACCAATGGACACACTCTCCTTGTCCAACTCTGCTTCTTCCTCAAATCCCTCAAAATCATGGACTACTGATGGCCACAGTGCTTTCCATGAAGAATTGAGGGATCTACTGGAGACTTCTTGCCATGATGACACAATCAATTTTACAGCCTCCAGGACGTTGAATTGTGTCTTCCAGAACTGTTTCAATGTTAGTTCAGGATCATTGGAAGTTGCCTGATGACACCTCCTAAACATTTTCTTCATGTACAACTTCTTGAAGTTGCTGATTACATTCTGGTCCATTGGCTGTATGATTGATGTAGTGTTTGGAGGCAAAAACAACACTTTCACAAAGTCAAATTGATACTCCAAATTGCTGGCAAGGTCAGGGTCATGACCAGGAGCATTATCCATGAGGAGAAGAACCTTTAAAGGGAGTTTATTGGTGGTTAGGTAGCTCTTGACAGAAGGGCAAAACACATCAACAGCCCATTCATTAAAGAGCTGTCTTGTCACCCATGCCTTACGGTTGGACTTCCAATAAACTCCAAGCTTTGTTCTTACCACTTTCTGTTGCTTGAACACCCTGGGGTTTTCAGAGTGGTAAACAAGCATAGGCTTCAGTCGGAAATCCCCTGAAGCATTGGCACCAAGCAATAGAGTGAG